TGCTGGAGCAGTTCCAATGGTCTCAGATGCAGAAGCAGCCTCGGTTGCCTTTGCCATCTCTGCAGCCTTGCTCTCCATCTCCTCCATCCTCCGCTGTACCATCCGAGGCATCAGCTGCACATAGGTGCCCATCAAGCGATGGTTTGTGCGGATCAGCTTCCCAGCACAGCTGTCAACGCACCTCTCCTTAGAAACAAGAAAGTTAGCATAAATATTAGATTTTTATGAATAATCCATCTGCATTATACATTAAAATACTGAGATAATAATTGGCTCCAGGGTAACTCAGCTATTCTGTGGCAAAAAAAACACCATATTTGCAACAAGATGTTGACTTAGATGCAGTGTATTATGTTGGTTGGGGTGATTTGTTTTCAAGTACCTCATCCATTGTGAGGTTTCTGTAGTTGAAGTTGCTTGTGCAGCGCTGGAAGCAGATCTCAGTCATGCGGTTGTAAACCAGCAGGAAATCCCGCAGCTGGAAGAGATCCAGTTTATAAGAATCATCACCACTTTTAATACTTAAACAGTGAGTTTAAAAGTGACTTACGTTTCTAAGCTGCGTGTCAGGATCCATCGTAATTCTCCTCGGTGGCGATTCACTGGTCTGCTAATGTGGAAACAAGCAGCCTGCACGCCAGATCTACGGAAGCTTTGAAATCCGGGTTTTAATAATTCCACATAAAATCGGACAGATGAAGCAAATAAACAGGAAGATAAAATTTACTTCTAATGTTACAAAATCTAAACAAACTGCTTGCATTTGATCATTAAGACGTAGGATTTAACATGGCATGACATTCACATGGAGGCCGCCATGTTTTGAAACAAAGATCGTCTCTGAGAAGAGTTCTCACTCTGAGACAGAAGTTTCAAACTCAATCCCATCAGTTTTCTTTCTTTTTTACTGACAGTTTTTTTTATGGCTACATAATGATTACATGATCATCAGTATTTGAAAAACGTTGAAAACAGAAGCTTTTGAAATAAACTTGATTTTAGCTGTAGTTTCTTTAGTCAATTAAAGTTTTTATTCAAAGGTAATCATTTGTTATGAATACCTTCTAAATTATGTTTTTAATGAACTTGCTAAATTCTAACTGAAGATCCCTCCCCTCAGTGTGTTTACTCCCATTGACTTCCACTGATTTTCAGTCATTTTT